GAAACCAGCTAAATGCAATCTTGATGTCATTCCAACAAAATTTCTTAAAGAGATTACTGACACAGTTGGACCCAGTATTTTATTGATTATTAACAACTCATTAACAAAAGGCATTTTTCCATCTTCTTTTAAACATGCTGTGGTCCAACCTCTTTTAAAGAAACCCAGCCTTGATCCTTCTGATTTTAACAATTTTAGGCCAATTTCTAAACTCCTGTTTTTATCAAAAATTTTAGAAAAAGTGGTTTCAACCCAGCTTTTAGCTTCTCTTTGAGAGATTTCAATCAGGTTTTAGACCCCTACACAGTACAGAAACTGCCCTCCTGAAAGTAACCAATGATCTTCTTTTAGCTGCCGACAGGAGAGAGAGCACAATTTTAATCCTTTTAGACCTAAGTGCAGCCTTCAACACTGTTGATCATGCCATTTTAATTGACCGTCTGGAAACCTGGGTTGGCATCAAGGACACTGCACTTAGCTAGTTTTATTCCTACCTTTTAGATAAAACTTTTGCGGTCACCATAGGTAATTACACATCCTCGAAAACTCAGATTACCTGTGGTGTACTGCAAGGTTCAATTTTAGGTCCAATTTTATTTTCTATTTATATGCTTCCGCTCGGTCAGCTCATCCGCCGCCACAACGTGTCTTTCCATTGCTATGTGGACAACACACAGATATACCTCCCGCTGAGACCGGATGACCCAAGAAGCCTAGCTGCTGTGTTACGCCGGATTTCCACTGGATGCGTGTCCGTTGCGGAACGGCAGCGCTGGTTATCCGCTGCGTGCTCCGCTGTCCGTCAACACCCACCGGCTGCGTTTGCTGTGCAGTGCGGTGCAGCTCCGCCTGAAGACATCTCGGTGCACTGCCATGATTAATATCTCCTCGTCCATGGTGTTCACGGGGTGACATGACGTCTGAAAACCTCTGACCTGTTGACTTCAGGCCTGCCTCTGCCCATTATGTAGTTTTTAAGGTGTAATGCAGGGAAATATGATCCGCCGTGAACACTGTGTATTTTATTTTGAAAATTAACCGGATATTTTATTGTGTTTCTGTGCACGACTTCCTGCCCCGCACGACCTGCTCTGTGCTGAATTGCTGCGTTGTGCTCCGGCGTCCGGCAAAAATAGAAGTCCTGCGTATCTGTTGCGGAGGGCTCCAGAGTGCCGGAGCTGAGATGGAGCTGGAACGCAGCACAGCCACAGCCGGTGGAAACACACACATTGACTAGAATTGAATCCTATCGGCTCCGCTGCCGTGCCGGAGCGGAGACGCAACCAACATGCATCTGGTGGAAATTGGCTGTCAGATTGTCTCAACGATATCAACTGTTGGATGGCCCAAAACTTTCTTCAACTCAATAACTCCAAATCCGAAATCATACTGTTCACTCCCCCAACCTCCACCAGTCCCATTGAAAATAGTTCCCTGTCCATTAACGTCAAATCCACAGCCAGAAACTTAGGAGTAATATTCGATCCAGACCTCAACTTCCAACCTCATATCAATAAAGTTGTCCAGTCCTGCTTCCATCAGTTAAGAACTATCTCCAAAATCAAACCCATGCTCCCACATTCTGACTTAGAAAAAATAATCCACGCATTCATCTTCTCCAGAATCGATTACTGTAACTCACTCCTCTCTGGCATAAACCATAAATCACTCTCCCGCCTCCAACTGGTCTAGAATGCAGCATCTAGTCTTCTTACTGGTTTTAACAGATGGCATCACATCACCCCAATCCTGGCTTCCCTCCATTGGCTCCCTGTGCGTTTTAGAATTGATTTTAAGATTTTACTGATCACTTTTAAATCCCTTCTTAAAACCCATTTTTATAGACTAGCCTTCATGTGATGTCATCTTTTTATTTATTCTTATTATTTATTTTATTCTATTCCTTTTAATTGTTTATTCTTTATTATTCTATTGTTGTTATGCAGTGTTGTCTGTTTATCCTTCTATTCGTTTGTTACTAGTATTTAGAAATAATAGTTTTATTGCCTTTATTGTTCTTATCTTTTAACATTCTGTCTTATCATTCTGTCTTTATCATTCTGTCTGTGTTTTGCTTAACTTTACCCAATTTGAGCTTAATTTTGTCCTGCTTTTGTTTGCCCTCACTGTTTTGAGTCTCTTGCTATAGATATCCTGCGTTTGCTTTGTTTGTCAAAGTACTTTGTAAACTTTTGTTTTTAAAGGTGCTATATAAATAAAGTTATTATTATTATTATTATTATCAGTCATTTCTCTTACAGTTTTCATCCATGTCTGTGAAAACATGGATGCTTCACACACAGAAGATCTATACAGTCAGCACAGTTTCAAGATTAGAGTCACCAATTCAGTATCTGACCNCCATGTCTGTGAAAACATGGATGCTTCACACACAGAAGATCTATACAGTCAGCACAGTTTCAAGATTAGAGTCACCAATTCAGTATCTGACCAAATATCTTCCCTTCTGTTCCAGAGATATGATGTTGAATAATGACCAGAAAAGTGTCTTTACAGAGCATTATGATGTCACAGTGAAGCTGACCTTTCATCTTTTGGATACGAAATGTCATCACTTCATCATTTTATCCTATTAGACATTTGTGTGAAATGTTAGCATATGAATCTTCAATATGAATGAGTTACAGCCAAAAACATGTTTTATGAGGTCACAGTGACCTTGAGTTTAGTCCTTTGACCACCAAATTCAATTAATTCATATCCAAGTGATTGTTCTTAGTTTATTTGAATATCTGAGTAAAAAAATGTATATTTAGCCACCGAAAGTTAGGGATGGGTACCGAACTCCAGTATTGAACGAGCCCCGGGGCTACATTCGTCAAGACCGCAGTATTGATAAGCTCTGACCTTAACGGTTCTGCTATCGGTACTGGAGCAGTCGCATTTTTTTTTAATTTATTTATTTTTTTACATGATAAACCTTATCTTGCACATTTATCTCACCAACTCCGTCAATTATCCGTCATTGTATCATAATTTTCGCTATTCTCCCTGAAGACGAGCTGTGTGTGAGTAGAGAGCAGAGTGGCGGGGCTGTTGTTCCAGTGACACACACACACACTCACACACGCACACACACACACACACACACACACACACACACACACACACACACAAGACAGTGCATACACCAACTTAAGCTCGTAGCCTACCTGATAGATAACGATGGCGGAGAGAGCCAAACCGTCAAAAGTGTGGCTTTACATTACAAGACTTGATGCAGATACAGCGTGTTGTCACAAGTGTGACAAATGTTTTGCGTGTAAGGGTGGCAACACTAGTAATTTGTCAAAACACCTTGCGAAAGTGCATCATATTCAGACAGAAAGATGTACAATGTTTGACTGCCCTAGCACAGCTAGTTCATCTACATCCAGTCCAGGTTTGTAACATTATGCTAGCAGCCAACACGTGGAGTTAATAACCATTAGCTATTTTGTGACCTTACTAAATAGGGTTTCAGATTTGGGATTTTATTTGTGTATTTTTCAGATACTTCTAAATACATGAATATAACCATAATTATAGCCTGGGCTGGGTGCGTGGGATTCCCCGCCCCCTCTGGTCTATATATCCATAGTGATTAATGTTACATCACCATATAAAATACCTAGAATACCTAACATACCTAGAATACCTAATATTTTTACTTATAGGCTAGATTTGTTTATATATGCTACAGTGATTTGTTTTCCACAGAGCTCTACGGTACGAGCATTTTACTGCATTTGCGACAAAAAATAGTTGTGTGCAAGTAAAAGAAATCATTCAGGAGCATGCTGTGCGAGTACAGATTTCAACCAGCAGCAGAATCCTGTCGGTTGTGGGTTGAACGGGGGTCCCAGACACAGACAGGAATACGTATTCCTGTCAAATACAGCGGCCATAGTGCTCCGCGGCGCAAATACAGCTTACCGGCGACAGAGAAGCCTGGCTCTAGGTCCAATATTTTCCTCTTTGTTGATGTCATGACTGTCCAGAAGTACCTGAATAGCTGAGCCGTGGTGGCACACAGGTATGTGATGTGTCAGAGTGGAAACGTGCCTTTCACATTTCTCTCTTTGTGGCAGGTAACAGTCCACAAACCTCACCGCACTTCAGGGACTCTTTACTTATGGAGGGACTGTTCTTCACTTGTCAGGGGAGGAGGGTGGCTGGTTGATTTTTATTTTATTTATTTATTTTATTTTGATCCCCCCTATGTTAATCACTTATTGATGCTGTTTTTGAAGTATGAATAAGTCAATAAGTAATTTATTCCATTGAAATATCATTGATGTATTATAGAAAAGTGATTTATCTTTTTATAAATGACAAAAGACACATCTGCCTAATTTTTGCTGTGTTATTGTGATACTACTCAGAACCGTGATACTTTCACTGGTATCGTACCATGGGTCCCAATTTTGGTACTGTGACAACACTATTATTATATGTATTTTACATTTCAAGTTGTAAAAAGTAAAATGTTTTGTTAAAAAACTATTTTGTTGCATAATGAGAATTGAGAAGGAAATTTATGTTCTTGATTTGTTTTTTTCTTCCTCAAAAAGTATAGATAAGAGTACCGTTAAAATACCGCATCAATAAGCAGTTCCGATAAGAGTAGTAGTACAGTTAAAATCTTAACGATACCCATCCCTACCGAAAGTAAACACCTGCATAGCTTGGAATCGGCCTTTTTTTTTTTAAAAAAAAAAATGAAGGTTTTGGACATTCACCATTATTAGAATCCAAAATGGCCACCAGAGATTTTGAAAAAAAAAAATGGAAACATTAGTATATTCCTCATGTTCTAATGATTCCCCAAGAATTTTGCATGAAAATACATTAGGAACTGGACAAATAGACAAGTGCTCCTGTGAGAACCGTGAATATGCACAATACATTTCATAGAACTGGGTCCAGGAGATGTTGCAATATCTCACTCTCGACAGCACATGGGCAGACTGCTTATATGCCAAATTCTGGAAACCTACCCTGTAGAAGTCCATGTTGTTCACATACTCCTCATTGACCTCCAGCACTCTGTCTCCGTCTCTGAGGCCGCTATGCTCTGCAGGACTCCATGGCTCCACATCTCTGACCTCAAAGCCCCGGCTGCTCTGGTCCATCCACAGGTAGAAACCAAATCTCTGCCCCTCCAGACGCTTCAGCTGGCACAATCTGGGCACAAGGCTCTGATCAGGCTCTGCACACATGGTTAGTATAGATTATCAGCACTAAAAGGACATTGGGGAATGATTTTAGATAAAGAGTTCTCAAAGATTGTGTATCAAACCTCACCAGGATTATCAGTGATCACCAGAGCTGGATTATCAATCCCTTCCTTTGGATTAAAGGTAAAACTGATTTAAGGAGAAATTAAAAATGGACAGTCAGTATGTCAGTGTAGCACAGCTGAAGAACATTACATAGAATTCATTTTCATATCAAAACTAGTATACAAAATGGCTGTTTAGATGTACTTTAATGTACTTTTTAAAGGACTATACCAATGTTTTGGAAGTTGTACTTCATTCAAGGAGACTTATCCTCACTATTGACCTTTTCAAAGAATGCTGTGCTACTAGAGATTTTATATTAACTTTACTATATTAACAAACAGGCACCCAATGATTTATTTCCCTATATCATCTTGGTGATGAATATGCATCAGTTTGATATATTCACAAGTACTGATTTTACATTGTGGTAAAAAAGAAAACCCCAGTAAGACCTGTGTCAATATCATTGTATGACAAAGCAACATGGAACCCCTTAACTACATTCATATTAGACAATTCTCCAGTGCACCATTCAGGCCAAGTGCAATGTATACCAACTACTGTGTATTTGTCATAACCCAAATCTCTCTCTAATGTTAACAGCAGCAAAGCAGAGCAGTGAACAGAGTCCAGCACAAGCAAGGAGGGATAGTGGCATGCATGGAAGGATTTTGGAAGGAGCGCGGAGCATTTTTTAAAACGTTTGAGCATTGCCTTCATCCTTCTCCAATTTTGCTCCATTACTGCTCACACATTGAGTTCAAAGAGTTCACCTCAATGCACCAATCACAGCTCACAGTCACACCACAGCAGGGTGGTACTAAGCAAAAAAACTCCATTGAGATTCAGACAACTTTATTAATCCCACCAGAGGCAATTAATTTGCAGCTAGTCTTGTACACATACTATAACATGATAAATGAAAAACACAGGAGACAGGAGACACACTTAATGAAAGACTCATAGGCCTCTAGTTTCCCGGTGCAGCACAGGGTGGCGAACCCCGCGCAGAGCTAGTTTCGAGCAGCACAACCCGAGGCGCGCTCAGTTTGGTAGTTTGGCAGATCAAGGTGCGCTGAGATGGGTGTGGTGGTGCAGCAGGGAGATATGTCGACAGATCCAGCTTGGCGCAGTGACAGTTTCGTGCCAAAAGACTTTGCCAAAGGTGCGCTAAAAGTTCGCCAGCTGAAACCAGATCTACTGTCAGCACAGGCGGAGCGCAGCCGGTGGAGCGGAAGTTTGGCTGATCAGCGGACATTGCACACACGTCACCAAAACCTCACAGGCAGGTTTCCAGAATGTCAGGCACATTAACAATGCAATAAATACCCACAAAAACCACTATTCAATGCAACTATCTGCAATCAGCACATAAATGTATCTCTATATCGACTGTCCTGTCACATCTGATGTCAGATCAAAGGGGACTGGCACCGTTTGGCACGTTTGGCACGCGTAATGGAAACCCAACCTGATTTGATTAACACAGCTGCAAACTAATGAGTTCACATCCCTCTCAGCCAACCACAAACAGCCACAGCATCAGATAGGGAGTATATATTCAGCATCTGTCATCTTAGAAAAGTCAAAAGAAAAGAAACAGAGTGAGACTGCGAGAGAGAGACAAAGAGAGAGAGAGCACGCGCACGAGAGAAACGCAACATTGATTTACAATTGTGGTGACCTCCTCCCAGGCTACCTTTGCATCATCAGCCCGTGGAGCTCTGCTCGCAGTTCCGTATATTTGGACACTGTGAGCTTGGACCTCCCCTACCAAAACATCCATTTTCTCCTGGGAGAAGTTTGACCGTCTGACACTGCTGCTCTTTTCTGCCATGGCGAATTGAGTAAACTCTCATTACGCCTTCGCGCAGCGCATTTAAGGGTGAGGAGAGGGGCTCATTTGATTGCTGTGATGTGAACTGGCTGCGTAAAACCCACTCCACGCCTTCTTTCCTCCCTCTTTCCGACTTGTGCAGGTAGGAGGGACGGAGGTGGGAAAGAGGAGTAGCTGCGCCAGCGTGCACGATGTGCCAAACTTGCAAAATCCGCCTGGCCACACCCAGTTGGCAAAGTGTAGGTGCACTGCGCCTCTGCCTCGCCTGGTCTGCGAAACTAGAGGGCATAGAAACAGAAACAACGAAGGATGACAGAATATAGATATGATAGGAAAGAAATTTAGTTTACGGAGAAGGTGAATTCTCTGTTGCCCTCACTTCACAATATCTACAGTGTTTACATCAAATGTTTACATCAAATGTATGATGTTTATCAAAAAAGGTACTTAAATATTTGTAAGAGGTAACCCTTTCCACAGTGTCATTGTGAATAGTGCTTTCTTTGGCTGTCACCGTTATGTTTTCAACCAATAATCATCTCCTTAGTTTTGGATACATTTAAGTCCAAGAAATTATAATCACATCAAGAAATTAAATCCACAAGAACATTCCCTTGTTCTGATTCTGATCTATGGAGAAGGGACAGGAATGTGGTATCATCTGAGAATTTGACCAAGTAGCTGCTCTTGTGGGTGCTCCTCAGTCATCAGTCTACATAATCAAAAGCAAAGGTGAAAAGACACACACCGTGCTAAGCACAGGGACAAACCTAAGGAGTCTGAGAGACAGTAGGCCTAGTTTACAGAAATTCTCTGCTCTGAAACTAATCTCCATTAGTTAAGAAGTCCAGTATCCATAATACAAGCTGGTGAGCAGATTAAAAATGCTTATCAATAACTTAAGCAAGAGATGAGACTGCATTGTGTTGAATGCTGATGAAAAGTCTGCAAATAAAAGCCTAGCATAGGCTTGTGGCTTTTCCAAGTGCTTATGTAGATTGTTGAGTATAAAAAGCTTGCCTTCCTCCACACCTTTCCCTGCCTGATGAGCAAAGTGCAGTGGATACATTTTTATCAGCATATTAAAAAAACTATGTTCTGAATAATTTCCCCAATTTTTTGTTGTTTATCACAAGTCTGAGAAAGAGCTGTTTAATATTATACAGTATAAAAATCCTTCTAAAGGGGGCCGCTTGGCATGCAGATCTATTTGTTTCTACTGGACACCGGGATGTGCATTTATTTAATTTACCTGTTTTTAGAAAGAAAGAACATTAAAAAAACATTACTACATGTAATTTGGAGTTTTGAAGGATCATTGAATATCAACATTCTTGTCTGCTGATAGAGTTGGTGGAGATGAACACATGTTACACTGAGGCTAAAATTTCCTTATGGTTAAAGCTGCTGAAAATTTCCAGAGGATAACGAGCTCACACTTAAACATTTACTCTCTTTACTGTAAGAAAGTTTTTTTTTGTGTGTGTTTGAACTTTATTGAGTATTTTAAAATATTGGTCAGTTTTACTTGTACTTGATTACTTTTATATCACAAATATCGTACTTCACTACATTTAAAGTCACATCTGCTGCTGAGAAATAAAGAAAAGTCACATGAATCAGTTGTGATAAACTGTGAAAATGAGACCAATCAGCAGCTGCAGCAGAGAAGAAGCTGCAGGTGTGTCGGCGGCCACAGGGGGGTGGACACTACTGACCCTGGGTTTCCTCAATTCACTGTTTTGAGCGGCCGTTGTTTTCACTTTCTGTAAGTGCTCCTGCATCTTTGACGTACTTGCGTTTGGTTAATGTTGCTTGCATTGTTACCAGCTTAGACTCCAAGCGATTGAATCTTTCATTGGTATTTTTCTCGGCTAAGTTGAAATATCTTTGTAGTGTGGCTTCAAGAGACGTCGTTGTCAGCTGGCTGTCATTAGTCTCCACCGGATCCATTTGTTTGTTCGTCGTTTTCTCTTTCTTGCCACGCGATCGCGTTGCTGTCATTGCCACATCAAACAATGAAACTTGTTAAATTTACCACTGTTAAAGCTAAGTGGAGTCTGTTTCGATAACAATAGAAAGTTTGCTCAAACAATTGCAGGGGAGAGGAGCTGAGTTTCCCTACTCTGCCATCTTGGCCAGTGTTCCATATTTTATGTGTGTAACTCTGCTACAGTAATATGAGTAGATCTGATGAGTCGCGCTGCTCTGAAACAGCTGATTGCTGCCTGTACATGATACTGCCATGTAATCTTCTGAAATATGTTCACCTCAAAACAAATGAGTGATGCTTTGACCTGCAGGATATTCTAATGTCTTAACTGTGGCCGTTCTTACCACAATTCCCCTCCAAAATTTACACCAATTGAAGCTGATAGAATAAATGCAATTATCATGTCTTTATCATGTGAATAGTGGGGGGAAGAGGGGAGGGGGACACTTAGTGCTCCATCATTGCTGTAAATGATAAATCATCAGCAGTGGAAACATTGGAAAATGTAAATTCTGAGGTTTCTGTCAATATTTTTCACGCTTGTAGGATAAAAATCCTGGAGACATTAGTTCAAATAAATGACATATTTCATTGTACAGAGCTGAGATTCTGAAGATAAACATCCCGCCGGACCTGTCTTCACAATATGAGCAACCAGACAAGGAGGAGGTCATCGCCAGCTACGTCTCAAGATTCAATCAAGGGGGACGGGTTTGAAGCCTCCGTATCTTCCCTGGGTGTCAGGAAACTCCTGACGTATCCGAAGTACAACGCATGATGGGATGACTACACATATCTTCTGCCCAAGGAAGCCCCAGCACCAGCTCAAAAAACTCCTATAGGCTAAATACCTGTAACGACTGAGAAAATTGAACATTATGTTAGTCAACAGGTTCTATAATGTCAACATCTGTATTCACATTTTTCGAATTTGGATTCAGTGAATCCTTCATTTATGGTCCATGTACTTTGCAGCCATTCGTTTTTCATTTTGATGTTGGTAAACAAAAAACGGGCTCTATCTTTATTCAAGAGAGTGGTATATCATATATATATATATATATATATATATATATATAT